GGAGCTGGCGGGTCGCTTAGATGAGAGGCAAAGTCCAGACCACAGACAGCAGAGTCTGCTGCTGGGTACTCACATTGGGGAGCTCTCGCATGGGTAGAATCGCCACTGCGGGCTCATGCGCAGAAGGAAACCTGGGAATACAAAGAAAGACAAGTTATTGGAGGAGCCTGCACAGGACAGGCCAGGGGCAGACCTGCTTCCTGGGTATCCAAAGCCACGAAACACTGCCGAGCGGGGACAGAGCTGTGCAACTGCTTGATTGCCCGTAGGGCCCGAGTGACCTCCTCCGCCGCTACCAAGACTAGGCACCATTTTGCTAGGGAAAGGTATACATTGCCTTTATTTCAGTGGCTGCTGCTCCCAGCTGGGATGTTTGACTATTGTGGGTACAAGCACTTTGGAAACACTTGTTAGTAGTTGAGATTACTCATATGGCACCGGTGCTTTACAAGGGGGAGATTCCCTGTCACCAGAGGTCTACAGACGCGGACAGATGGAGGCAGGGACCCTGTGGGAAGAAGGTCAGGACAATATGAGTCCGAAGCGTAGACTTGCACATGGGTACAGAGGCAGAAGGCAAGGCGGGGTGACACCGCAGACACAACTGGTTCAGAGAGCCACGCTTTGTAGGCAACAGCCTACTTCATCTGATGCCATGAAGGCAGAGAGGGGAAGCAAGCAGGTTGGCACCGTTTTCTCTGCCTCAGAGAGAGGCGTAAATGAGGTGTCACGTGCTACGACTTATCCCTCCTGAGCATGCGCGATGTGTGGGGTCACCGGGAATCCTGTGCTAGGCTCTTCTAGGCCCCTCTTCACTGTTTGGCATCTGGGCTCTCCACAAACCTTCACAAATCTCTCCTACCACACCCCTCTTGCCAAGGAAGGGCTATTGCCCATATTTCACCGATGGGGAATGGAGGCTCAGGAAAGCCAGGGCTACAGCGTGTATGTGAAAGGACCAAAGTGCCGCTCCTCCCAGCAACAAGGGGCTGTGCAACTCTTACGCGAGCCGGACAGCTCTGTCCAGGTTTGGAAAGTGACTTAGGCAGTTGGGAGCCTAAGCCTCCATGCAAAGCAATGGGATTTAGGCTCATAAGTCGCTGAGTCACTTCCAAAAATGGGACTTGCAGCCCTGAGCGAAGCAACCCCTAAATACCTGTAGAAACCTGGAGCCAATTGCTTTGCCCAAGGCCACACAGGAAGTCAGTAGCAGCGAGTGTCTCACCATGACTATACTCCCTCTCTCAGCACGTGTGGGTAATGGGCATGAGACCACGGGTCACGGGTCGAAGGCCCAGAAACCAGCTCTGGGCAGAGACAGGAGGCCTGTTTCACCTACAGGCTTGTGTTGGGTAAGGGCAGAGGGTCCTGGGATGCGGAGCCGGGAGGGGAGTCTCCCCCGAAGAGACAGGCAGGGCCCACGGACGGGGTCAGTTTAAATTGCGGAGCAGGCAGCCTCGTTATTTAAGGTGCCCTGAGCCTGGGTTTTACCTTGCGAGGTGGCTCATCCACCCTGGCCAACCTGGGGGAGAAATGAAAGGACTTGCTGGCACCCAGGAGGGACCTAACCAGGCCAACCAGTACCTTCCCTCTGAGAGGGAAACTGAGGCAGTGCATTGGCCTGGATTAGTCCCTGCTCTACAGCCCACTGAGGTTAGGCATTTAGGCTGCTGTCATTCAGTTTTTAGGTCCTTTGTCTGGAGTCTCCCCTCAGTTATTGTGGTGTGAAACAGTGCAGCTCTGTCGACTTAAATAAAATGATTCCTAGCCCGTCCTGGCATAGAGGGGCAGGATATGGCCACCGCTTGTACAGATTGCAGCCTGGCCGCTACCAAATGCAGAACATCGCTGCATCCCCGTGCAGGGATTAAATGAGCCGGCATGCAATAAAGTGGTGCCTACTAGTAACCACTAGCTGAAGCCAGAGCTCAAGGCAGGTCTGCTACCCCCGGTATCATCGCCAATGTGTCCTCACCCCCTCTCATCAGGTCGGCGATGAGAGTCCTGGTGCTCTTTAAATCCCCTCCTGCGCCGTTCGGTCCAGGGGAAGCCCAAAGGTAACAGCTGGGAAACAGGATGATCAGGGTTTTCTGTGATCACTTGATCTGTCAGGGAAGAGAGAGAGAGGAGTGATGACATGAGAACCACGCTGTTGGCAGTAAACAGGCCTCTGGAGGAAGGAATCACAAGGTCCCGTAAGAAAGCGTGTCTATGCCAGGAGCATTTTTAAGTCACAGCCCCATTGAGCAGGGCTTTGAGCTCCAGGCAATCGGAGAGCTAACTGCAACCAGCAGGAGAGCCACACACCCGTTCTCGGAACGTGCAGGAGAAGCAATTATGCCCCCTGCCGCAGCAACTAATGGAAATAGTGGGAGCCCTGGTCCAAAAGAAGAGGGGCTGCGTAGCCGGGCCTGAAGTGAAACTAAATCTTGTAAACGTATGTTTTCTCCAACTGCACATATAGGGGCTAGGCAATGGTCGGCCAAGTGTGGGCAAGAAAGCCGGAGAGGAGAGAGATGCGGTCATGAGCAGGACCAAAGCCAGAGCAACTTGGGGCAGAGAACTGAACATTGGGGCAGACGTGGCTATTATGAGCCAGGGAAGTGCCCGCGGACCTTTATTTCTCCAGAGATCGGGGGACCAAGACTGCCCGCACCTTCCCAGAAAATAAGCAGACTTGCCCCAAAATGTCTACCTGACTTGTATCATCAATATCTCTTCCAAAGAAAAGCGCTTTAATTAACTGCTTGGCCTGAGGGGCAACACTATTAACACCCTGGGTGGCTAACGGAGGTTAACTTAACATATGGTTCTCTTGGCCCTGCTGCACAAATCTTTCCAGCCCAGGGATGGGAGTCAAATCCAGCCCTCCCAAGTCCCAGCGTCCTGCCCCAGCCTGCTCCTGCCCCCAAGCCACTGTCCTTGGTTCCTGCTTCTGTAAAAAATGGCCTGTCGCGCAGCAGTGGGTGAGCAGAAACATTTCTGAGGTGGTCCCAGCTCTTATTCATCCCTCTGATCCTCCCAAACTGCCCATGCCTTACTGAAGGCTAAAAAAAGCCAGCCCCAAGCAAGAAGAGCCATTCCCCACCCAAAGCAACTCTCTCTGGGCTCCTCCTGAATGAAAAGCAGCTAAGCAGAGCACAACCCAGCTCTGAAGGCCAGGGGCAGCCGAGCCGCATGCAAACCAGCAGGGTCCACGGCTCACAACCGGGCGCTCAGCCGGATCCCAGCTCTCCATCCTTTCGCTTCTCTTACGTGCAGGACGTGTTGCTGCAGCCCCCTCCTGTCTTTGGCCCGCTCTTCGATGGTGTCGTCTGCACAGCGCTCGCTCCTTCTCCGGTTCACGATGAACCTCCGCTCTTTTGAAGCAGTCAGATCTTGCCATCGGGCCAACAACAGAGCCCAAGCCCACCACTTGTTTTTGGACTCCATTTAATTGCCTCGCACGTCAATGCTGCTTGCCCGTGCCTGCCTTCGCTTTCCTGCACAACCTCCTGAAGAATCGGACAGATTTCCAGAGCATCGAGGCTTAAGGGATAAACGACGCCTTCCCAAGAGCCGTCCTGCTTGTCTGATCCTCCGAGAGCAGCATTGGGGAATATGTCAAGAGGGTGAATCAGACTGATGCAGGCAAGGAACCCTGGTGAAAAGCCTCGTGGGCAGCCGTGATAACCGAGTGACACGGGCTTAAGGGCCAAAGGCTAAGAGCACAGCAGGACGCACCGAAGCACGAGCACGGTTCCTGGCTCCCCAGTCAACGGCGTGCGCTGCGAAGAGCTTTAATGAATAGACCTGTCAATGGGGAAACTTGCTCCTTGAGCCTCTGGAGGACAGTTTTTTATTCCCTTCAGGTCTGATAGCCCCCTCTGCTCCCTAGAGCAGGGGGATCACGTGAATCGCATTTGCAGGAGCATTGTTTCTCTGGCACAGCTCCCCCCTCCACACTGGAAGGCACACGCTT